AATTAGGAATGATGAATTGGATTCTTGTCGGTTATTTGAATTGGTTATTGGATAATTTGTTGGTTGAATTGAGTTGATTCCGCTGGTTGTTTGATGTATTTGAATTGTTGTTGAGGATTATGAATAATAATCTGAATTATAAAAAAAACGGGTCAGATTGTTTCAATAACCAAACACCATAAACTCAACCTGACTTTTTTTCCTTTTCCATAAAGTCAAATTTCCTCTTTAACTTCATATTTCTTTTTCCTTTCATCTTCTTTCCAAATCTGCGTTAACTTGATCATTACACCAGTTCTGTTTCATTAGCTTTACAACTCAGTCAACACAACATTAACATTATACACATGATTTGAATGTGTTGGAACTCATTTTTGACAAAATGGTTTACGACCATTTTCTGGTGAGATTTCCGGTGGAGACGTTCATCGGGATGACCGGATTCAAACACGATAGAATCGTCGTCGTAAACAGTATAACATAGTGTATTCACTTGTCAAAATCGAAGTTGATTTGAATGCGAAATGTTGGTCCAAAGTCGATGACTTGGAAAGCTTGTAAAGCTTGATAATTTGGCTGTGTAAAAAGTAGCACACATCCCAAATTAGATACATGAGATGAAAATCTTCTTGTATATAAATAAAAAATTCATAAAAAGATTCAAAATCTTATAAAGAAAAGATATATACAATCAAATGCGTGCTTGCACTGAACGAAGTTGAACCAAACCGAATTTGGAATCCGTCTTGGATTAGGAATTGGAAATTGGTTTGAAGTTTGGTAAATGGGTTATAGGCCCGATACCCTATTTAATTTTGGGCCAAACTCAAATCAAATTAGTGATTAATTATTTCCATAATATTAAAAGAGAAGTACATTTAGCAAAATATCCAAAATTCATTCTAATATTACTCAAATTGTCATTGCTTTTAAACTAAAGAAATTCAATTAAAAAAGGTAATTTTGTATATATTCAGTGGCAATTTTAGTAATTATCAGATCAATTTCAGYCATTTTTTTAACAGGATCCGACGCAGACACGCGGACCCGCGCGCGACCCGGTTCGCTGACCCATTTCATTAATGGCAAAATTATAATATTCACTCAACAAAAAAATTGAGCAGACTTTTCTCCTTCTTCTTCGATAGAGAATTGATTTTTCTCTCTCACAATATCTCTCTCGAGATCTCAACTCTGCATTTCGAAAATTAAGTCTTCTTTCTGAAATTCCGATTCTGCTCCCGAATTCGTCAATATGTGTATTGCGATTTTGTTTTTTTTTGGTTTTGTGATTTTCTATTGAGAGATGAATAAAAGATTGAGAGACGAATTGATTGGTGTATAAAGGTCTGTTTCCTCTTCTTCCTCTCGACGTATTGAACTCTCGACGTTGCAGTCTCTCTCCGAACCTCTTTTCGAACAAGTAAATCTCTTCTCCGACGTCACTTGTGATGATGATTTAGATCTCTCTTTTTTCTTCGTATTGGCGTTTGAGAGTTTGGAGTTTCTGTTTATTGAGTATGAATTACTTCTGGTTTTTAAGTTTTTCTTTTTAATCACTGTTAAAGCTTGAAACTTTAATTGTGTTTAATACCGATTGTTCTTATGTAACGGCTTTTAAACTCTGTTCTGGCATTAGAGTTTATAGAAAGGATTAACCTTTTTGAGTTTATGTTGATGGGTAACAATAAATTTGATTGATTTGATGTTATTTTGAATCTTATAACATTTGATATAAGGTTTTCAATACTCTGGAGTGGGCTAATTTGGTGTTTTCTTGGTTTAAACCAGATGCAATTCTCTGTTGAAGATGTCAAATCTGTCTTAGGACAAAGAGGTCCTGATAGTGTAGGCGAAAAGAAGATTCATCTTCGACCAAATGTATCAACTTGTGCTAAAAAATCTGTGACTCTCTCTGTTTTTGAGGCTGGGGAAAGAGCTTGCGAGCTTGAGAATACTACTTCTAGTGAATTGCATTTTGTAGGTCTTTTCCATTTCCTATAGACGATTCATAGTTTGTGTCTCTTACAACTACCTTATATTGGGTTATGTATGCAGGTGGTTGTTAGATGAAATGAGTGAAAGCTTACCAAAGGTTGGTCTTTACTTGATTCACAGCAGCATATGTATTTTGGTTTGATATGCATCTTCTTGCGATAATTTCTGGTGCCTTCATGATTTATCACTGTATTTGATTTCACTGTCTATTCTATTCTGAAGTATTTATCTTTGGTCTTAGAGTCTGGCTTCATCGGGAACCGACCAGTTGACCTTATTCCAACACTACAGTGAGATTCGTTTTGTGTCTCTTTTGTAGCTTTTTAGATTATGAGTTTGTGTTTTGTGAATGACAATATTCAGACTTACATTCACAAAATCTTTGCATCAGAATCTCAAAAGGATTCTAAATTGGCATTTTTGTGGCGAAAGACAGTTGATGGTARGCCTAAGCCACTACAAGGTATATGCTCCTTCTCTCTTTCCCTAATTTTTTGTATTCATATTAAAAACTACGAGCAATAGCACTTAATACTTCATCAATTGAATAGATTTTATGAACTTAATTGTTATATATATATATAGTTAGCTCAAAACAAATAACAAACCCCAAGATTTGGAAAGTAGTTAATGCAAATCTTTGATAATATTAAAATTCGGAAGTTATTTAATTATTTTTTATTTTTAAAAGATTATCAAATATTACAATCAAAACTATATAAGGAAATCACGACAATTGTGGCTTCCTAACAATCTTATAATTCTTTTTAAATTGTGTTTTTTTTATAGGAGCAAATTAATTGGAATGTTATTTAATCATTACATTTACTTAAATCTATATATTTTTCCGGGAATCTAAATCTTTTTGTTAATATTCTTAATTAATATCCAAATGAAAACCCTAGAAATCAACCCTAAAATACTCTATAAATAATTGACATTTGATCTCGAAACAAACTTGTGAATTAGTAGCCGTTTCATATATATTGTTGTTCTCTTTTCTTTTTTTTTCTCTTTTTCATGGTTTTAATCTAATGCATCTATGTCGAATTTCGCTTCTATAATTATACTCCCGTTCAAATAGCTTAATTTAACTTGTGTTTTTTTTATTAAACCAGGCAAATCGAATGTATCCATTCTCGAAGAAGATTATATTCATCTTCTAGATCATTTGAGAGAAGAGAAGAAGAGCAACACCAACAATTGCCACAGAACAACATTCCCAACCTTTCTCAAAGTTTTTAAAATTCTCAAATCTTTTAAATCTATTTTTTTGCGTTTAAACATTTACAATAGTTGTTATCATTGTTCGATGTTTTTGGCATGGTTGAGATTTGACTGATTTTTTATTTTGTCATTTTACAGGTTATAATGAGTTCGATCTCCAGTATCAACATCAAGCCTTTCTCCATCGGTATGAGGAATTCTCAAAATTTATGTTGTTAGTTTTGAATTCGATTCTCTATATATGGCATCGATTGAAATTGGAAGATGGCAATTTTTTTGTGATCGGTGATTGTGTGTTTTTTTTATCTCTTATGCCTTTGTTATTCATGGTAACTATTTATAAGAAAAAATAGCACGGTTATTGAGTGCCTGTTTGATGAATTGTCAATCTCAATTTATTTCATGAACATGACTAACAAGATAACTCTCTAATTTTTTTAGTAGTATCATGCATCTTTACATAAACACGCATTAACCAATTTTATTATAAACGTTTCTTAGTTTTTTTTCCTTCTCTAGGAAAGAATAGAAAACATTTTGACCAGTTTCATGCATAAACTCGGAGACTCTTGCAAAGTATGATTTTTTGGTAAATCTAGATTTCAGTTTTATTGGTTCATTTTATACTTTCCAGATATGGGTTGGAAATAAATTCCTTTTAGATTTTGGACTGTTTCGAGAAATCAATTTACTGAGCAAGTTGAGCTAGGTGGCGCACAGCCTGCCATCAATAAAAACGCAAGCGGGATAATAAGTGCGGGACGAGCAAAGAGATCTATTGCTCAGCCTGATGATGTTAGAGAAAGGTAAGTGAATCTCTTTGTTATCTCTGGTTTCAAATAATTTTCTTCCAATTACATCATAAGAAAATGATGTGAAATTGAATTACAACAGATTTAGACAATTAAAAGAGCAAGAGAAGCGCAGCAAGAAGAACAAGACAGTTGCGAAGATACAGTTGAACCGCTAGAATCTCATGTCTGGAATGAGAAGAAGAGGAAGATGATGATGAGGTAATAGTTTCATAAACCGAGGACTCTCATTAATGAAAATCGAGCAAATAAAACACATTATTACGGTGAATGATTTGAATTCTTTTTAAAACTGATGAGTAAGTGTTGGAACGGGAAAAAGAGGTTCGTAAAAGAGCATTAGCTTCGAGCACAAACAAGCCAGTTCCAGACGTTGGTCAGCGAAAAAGCAAACAATCAAAGCAGAAACGCACTGTATAGAATCAAATAAATAAAATTGTAAGTAAGGAAGAAAAGAGAGATTTGATTGTATTTTAGTTTGATCTTAATATATTTACATATACCAAGTCCGGGAATAACCAAAATTATGGCAAAAAAGGTCATTCGAAAGTTAAAAGCAGTAGTTGATCAAACTACGTAGTTTTTGTGCTTTAAAAGCATATGCTTTCTTATTCCTTTCCCATTACTTTCATAGTTTAAAAATGGAGTATGCACACATAAAAGCACGACATGTTTTCTTGAATTAAACATTAGTGCTTAAAGCATAGGAAATGTTTTTAAAAAAAATTAGGAACATAATACCATACCCAAGAAACTTCTGGATTTTCAGTCAAGATTGATGTTTTATACAAATGTAGATTCTTCTATGTTGAATTATATATGTAATAAATATGATATATTTATTACATAGCAAATAAAAAAACACAAAATTTACGAAATTATCAAAATAATATATTTAAAGTGATAAATATGAGTAATATAAATACAATAACTATTTATATCAATAAAACACTTTACCATACAAATAAATCTAATTTGACAAATAAACCCAATTAGTGTAGATAAAATAAAACGAAAATATTGACTAAACGGAATGCAAAATGGGAACATTTAAACAAAAACAATAAACTTATTTAAAACTACTCAATTTTTGTCTATATATTTTAATGCAACATAGTCAACTATTTATACTCCCACTAATGACTATTCAATATAAAATACAATACTTCAAACTACTCCATTTCTACCTACAAGGTAAAAACAAAAATCATCATATTATTTCAAACGAATCAATTCCACCTACAAGCTAAAAACATATATATCTAAATTTAGAACATATTATATACGATATAATACGAAAGCTAAATATAGTTTACAACATATACAACGAATGTTTTCCCGCACATAGTTTGTGGCCCATTGAAAATATATCCCATTTGTGCCCCATTGAAAATTCGAGATGGGAACGGGATATAAAGGGATGGAACGGGAACGATACGGAAATTCCCATAAAATAACCAGTTTAAAAATACTAATTTAAATAAAATGATATTGCAAATGGCCTCTTATTGCAAATAAATGACATTTTTGGAAATTTTATTAAACATAAATCCAATAATATAAAATTTTCTAAGTATATATTCATATTCTACAAAAAAAATGAATTACTTTTGTA